AATAAGATATGAGAAGATTAGTCTAGTTCAGTGAAAAGGGATTGGAATCATTGTTCAGTTTATTTATTTTGAATTTTTACTGATTTCAGATGGGGTTTTTTGTGAAGATTTAGTATTTTCATTGTTGAAAGCATTAGTCATTTGAAGCTAGACCACCATGGAAAACCTGGAAGCATTGTGCGGCCGTTTCGTCCTACTGTGGGACTCCTCAGCAATACGCATCCACGATCCCGCCTCTCGAGATCCGAACCCAGGACCTACCAGTCTCGCGCCAGTGCACTTAACCGATAGACCACTGAGCCGGCATCCAACAGTGTTAACCTCTTACTTCAACGAATCCATGAAGTTGAGCAACCATTCACCAATTGTCATCAGTGAGTTGATATCTCACAGCAGACGTGGTTGAATTCTATCGGTCACTGCTTCTCACTTGAACTCCAGGAAACATCTCTTGAAGTCAGTCACTAGTGAGCATATGATTATGATTAGAAGGGTTTTTTTGTGGAGATTTAGTATTTTCATTTTAGTAATTTCTAACATCATTACATTACGTATGAAAAAAGAGAATAGCCGATAACTAATCAATAATATTGCCACAAATTATGGACTATTTGGATAGTACAATTCAATAATCCATTACTTTAAAAATGAACGTATTGACTAATTAAACACTGTCATTCATTATTGTAAATACACTTTCGTTAAGGTTTTGTGCCCATAAATTAAGCATATTTCGGAGTAAAATGTAAATATAATGTAGATTTCTATGAGTTTTAACTAATATTATCACTTATGTTGTGCGGTATTAATTACTTTTGTCACGGCTGATATTAGGTTTTGTATTTCTTAAATTGATGTAAGTGGATTCAAATTAGTTTGAACAAATCGACTGTCCATAAAGCTTATTATGTTGAATTCTGGTAAAGAGAAAGCTAAACGATTGTTTTATATTATGAAGTATTAGTTAAAGTATTTGGACATTTCCAGTAAACACAAGGATATAATTGGCTTTAGGAAAAGAAAATTAGCATTTTTGTCTTTATAATACAAAAAATTAGTAGTTCATGTTTCTAATGTTTATTATTACACCGAATTGTAATGATTTTATGCATTCATTATATAGAATAATAAAACTGTTTACTGATTAACATCTTTGATCTAAAAGTCAAATGAATCATACAGAAACCCCATCGGTTTTAAATTGTGGTATTTTTAAAGGTGTTTGGTCTAGCATCAACCATAAAATCATTGAAATTTAAAAAAAACACTAGTCAACTATTTTGTCCTAGCTTGGTATTACTCAATATTTAACCCTAATAAATCCATGTAAGATGAAGCTCATAATCTTACCATATAGTGGGAAGCATAAAATACTTGCACCACTAAACATTGAATGGCTATAGTTACATGGGATGAAGTTGTTTACATACCTAACCTTATAACACCCTATAAAATGCGTTAAGATACAGTGGATTTAAGGTCGAAACTCTTAAGTTGATATCCACACTACAGTTTGATTGATTGAATTTGATCGGCACTAAGTTCTGAAAAAATGTGATTGTGTTACTCAATGATGAGTCAGAGTTTGGTAGATCAGCTAATGCTCTTAAACAATCATCACTGGCCAAACGAAATGCTGGATGTTCATCAAATACCATACGATTTAAATGTATGCATAAATCAGCTTTTATATCTTTTGGACTGTAGTTTAACACCTAATAGAAAAATAAGTAACAAAATACTTTAATTTCTTTAATGTTTGTATTTTCTAAGTATTGTTATTACGAACTATAACTGATTAATAAACATCTATGGATTCTAACCAAATTGTCATGAATTTACTGTTTAATCACAAGTTTTCATTAAATTTAAACGGTGACTATCCGTAGGCAATCAGTAGTTTGATGGATAATTTACTACAATTCGGACAAATAGGATCTTAGGTTCAAACGACATTGTGAACATGAGCATTGAGATCTAGCTTCATCTAGCTGACGTAACGTACATTCTCCATTCCAGTGTTGTACATATATATGTAATTACTGAGGAATAGGAGTGTGAACTTAGTAAAAACTATTATGGTGTGTGTTACTAATGTCGTCATATATAAGTAGTACGCATCATTAACTGAAAGTGAAATGTCTGGCGGCAGAAGGTTGCAAAGATTGAAGAAAATAGAGTGATTGGTGTGAAAATGAAGGGACAATAAAGTCTGAGATTATTGATTAACGTTTAAAATCTCAAATGTATATACGTATTCTCATGGGAACACATTCATTCGAATAACAGAGATATTGTCGTGGCAATTTATAAATAACTACAAATTTCTGTTTATTAGTAGTAGTCTAGACTAAATACTGAAAATAGTACACACTATCTGTTTGTAGATATTAGGTAGGTTCACATATAGTTAAAACAACTAAGGCAACAGAATTCTGTAAAAAGAATAGTTTGAGAATTCCGTTTTCATGTGTGTTAATGTAAGTTTAAAATAAAAAAATAAGAATACTGTTTTATTGTATATGAATTTAAGTGAAAAAGAAAAAGAAAACTGATGAGGAAAATTAAAATTAAAAGGTTAGTTCATTTAAAAATAAAAAGCAGTACTACTAGATTCAATGTACTTCATGCATTTTCAGTCTTAAGATGAACCATGATATCAGAATTATAATCCTTTTCTAATTTCTTATATATACGAATCAAATAATTTCTATTCAAATTAATAAGTTATAATAAGTTATAAGCAAAGATGGATAGTGGCTAGCAGTGGAATCGAGGATGCGCATTTCGTCTTATTTGGGACTCCGAAACTGGATGTACCTGCATCTGAGTTGATGTTCACCCTGGGACTGGAACCCAGTAGCTTTCGCTTCAAATGCCTTCACGTTATCCACATAGCTACTGAGTCCTGATAGCCACTTGCTTTTTCGATGGGGTTAAGTTTAAATTCATTCAGTATTGTTTGTTTGAATCTTCCCATTGATGTTTAGGACTGCAACTGTTCAGTCTCTAATTGGCATATGTGCATACTGTGTTAGCCACTATCCATCTTTGCTTATAATACTTGTGAATTAAGACCATATCGAGGCAATACGCACAGTATACACATATCTCAATAAGAGACTGAAAAGTTGCAGTCCTAACACATCAATGGGAAGATTCAAACAAACAATACCAAACAAATTTAACAAAACAATCATTATGCAATTATGAATATCTGTACAGTCATTTACTTTTAAGTTATCTTTGAGAACTTACATTTGCTTTATCTTAGTAGATTAACTGAAGTGAGTTCAGGTATTTTTGAAGCAATGAACAAACAAAATCTCACTTATAATTGTTTATCACATTATATACACACTTTCTTTTTTACCACTGTTATGGAAAAAAAGCAAAGTGTACTGCAAAAGAATTTAGTCATCAGTGAATATTTTTCAGTATCACTAGTAGAAGCTACTTCTATTGTAAGGAATAAAACCTTCGTATTTTTGTTTATTTATAGTTGACATATAATTCCCATTTAAATATTGAAATTAAAAACACGAAGTTTAGCGAAGGGATTTATTATCAACGAATTTATTATCAAGCTGTACAGGCTTTGTGGAGATTTAGTATTTATTATAGTTGAAAGCGTGAGTCAATTGAAGCTAGACCACCATGGAAAACCTGGAGGCACTGGTCGGCCGTTTCGTCCTATTATGGGACTTTTCAGCTCCTCATCAGGAGCTCTAGTGAGAAGCAGTGACCAGTGGAGTTCAAAACCACGTCTGTTGTGAGATTGGAACTCACTGAAGACAATTGGTGAATGGTTGCTCAACTTCGTGGATCAGTTGAAGTTAGACATTAACACCGTTGGATTCCAGCTCAGTGGTCTATCGGTTAATGGCTTCGGCTCGAGACTGGTAGGTCCTGGGTTCGAATCTCGCGAGTGCGGGATCGTGGATGCGCACTGCTGAGGAGTCCCATAATAGGACGAAACAGCCGTCCAGTGCTTCCAGGTTTTCTATGGTGGTCTAGCTTCAAATGACTCACGCTTTCAACTATAATATATATATATGTCTTGTTAAAGATTCTGTGAGTAAATGTGAACACAAATAACCATGATGACGTAATAGAAAGATTATAATAATAGATTACGTAATACGAGTAATAACAATAGATTTAGTGAATATTTTTTGATGATTAAAATGGATGAAATGTTTTTGTTACAATAATTAATGGTCATAGAGGTGTAAAAATAAATAAGGTAATATGATGCGTATTCATGAATTAAAAAAATTAGAATATAAGACATAAAGGGGGGATGCAGTAATAATAATGATAATAATAATATTAAAGCCATGGTAACGATAACGATAAGACGTACTTCTTTTGTACGTATAGTTCTGGTTTGAGCTCATGGATGGTAAGAGCTTCGGCTATTTTTGGGAGTTGGATACGAAGAAATCTAGGTAGATTTGATTGGATCATATAAACAACCTTAAAATCAGGCTGTGGATTCGTAGAATGATTACAGTCGATTAGGTGTTCAAATATAGAACTCCTAAATGCTTTTCCTTTCACCCTTATAGTTGTCTACTATTTTAAGCTCTATGTGTTGGTATGTTTCATTTTAGAAAAAGGGCTCTCTCTCTCTCTGTATATATATATATATATATATATATATATATATAAAGGTTGGTGTTTTATCTTAGTTCTTTAGCTGTTAATATTTTAATAAAAATTGAGAATTAAGTGAATACACTAACAATTCACATGGATTATGTTATGACTAATAGCAATACCTTACTTGACTCTTCGTATCGCAAGACGATAGGTAAAATGCTGTGAACCTTGGCTTCATGTATGTGACACTTTTTGTAGAAATATATATAGAATCATATGAGAACTGAAACTCTACTTGACGTTTAAGTACGTGTTTTAACAAATACAAGTTGATGTTTTACGTATTACTTTTAAAAGTATTTCCCTTTTTACTCTTCTAACATAAAATCAACCAGGTAAACCGATACAATGCTGGACACCGCAAGAATTTACTAGAGCATGGGAAGAGTATGCAGAAAATTATTGTTGGGTAGCCAGTACATATTTTATACATTTAACCAGATATCCAACATCGAATATATTGGTGTCACAGTCTAATTTTATGCCAAACGGTTATATAGATACAAATGGACAACGTGTATTACAGCCTTATTCAATATTTCCAAAATTTTCAAGACCAAAAGCTGGTGAATTACCAAGTGATGGTCGATTAATTAGTTATTATCAATGGGCTCCTATTCTATTAGCAGTTCAATCATTTTTATTTTACTTACCATGCCTTATTTGGAGACTTTTTGCTGGTCAATCTGGATTTCAAGTAAGTTCACATTCTTTTTTTATACACACAAATTAAAAAAAATAAACATGTACGCAATAGCGTGAACATGCAATAGACGAGCTCAAGGTTGTATGATAAGGTCATCCTAGTTACTATTGCTAGCCATTATTCAAATACATTGAAATAACTATATACGTCTTATGTTTTTACAAATCTTTATTTCAATATTTACGTGTAATATGTCGTTTATTCAGTAGGCGATAATTATAGCTTCCTAATAGTTGTGGATTTAAAAATATCCATCTTGATAGGTAAATTAATTTTCTCTTTTGCATCAACATAGTTACATTGGATGATTATTCAAATACAAGATAAACAAAGATTCGAACGATCCAGAAAAGACTTAAAATGAACTATAAATTCAAGTGTACTACAACTTTAGAGAACTATAAAATAACTTCTACAAGATAATTGAAGGTGACGTTGTTATAGCTAGCTTGACAGATACAATTTTCCAGAAAACTTCACCTCAGTATTTACAATGCCTTCTTGAAGTGTTTGTCTCCATGATCTTAATTATGTCGGCAAAACTCTGCAGCAATTTTCTCAAACATATGTTATAAACACTTTCAATTTGATTTTATATAAAAGCAGGGAGAGTGCAAGCTGTTGCATATTTGAAATCTCTTACCTTCTTCTGATTTAAAAATTAGAAGATCATCAATCCCATAACAGTGGAAAACCTGAACAGTAAAGTACCTTTGTACTTAAATTATCACTCATAATCAAGATTACGTTTAGTTTTGTTCGCTGCATAGGGAAAACTTCTCATATAGAGAGTGGAAATACATTCATTTAGATTAAAACCGTCAAATACTTTAATCATTCACTTTAAGTTCAGATTAACTCTCAGAATCATAAATTCAATTTTCAGTAATGTGTTTATTGTATAATTAATTCCAGTGTTTTATATTATTTAATTAGTATTCTTGGTGTACGGTACATTACTAATCCATTGAATAACTTGAAAAACAGAAAGCTTTAACTGGACAATGACTGGAATCATCTCATCTGATGAGCAGCATTTGACAAATCAAGTTCTTAGTGTAACTATTAGGTTGGAGCACGTACAATTACACATTTTCACATAAGATGCCTGATTTTGAAGGATAACAGTAATAAGCTTTGAGCTTAACTTTCAGTACTATCTACAAGCCGTATATGAAACGTCCAGGGAACTTTTGAGTCGAGAATTATAAACTATATAGCTTAGTCCCAACGATAAAATGCTGACAATGAATTGATAAAGTAATCTTATGTGACTCAGTTCTGAATCCTTGAGGAAATACTAGTATTTTCAGGGTTTCGAATACTTCTACTTAATTTGAACCTGAATTCAGCGGACCTTTATTGAGGATCGTACAATAGTCTAAATACACAGTCTGATAAATATAATTATTCATAAGTACTTGTATCTATTACGAAATTGTTTTTAATATGTTGTAGTGAACGAGAACACGAGTGGAAAATATCGAATGTATTTGAACACAAAATTACAGAATCATTCAGTGAAATCTGAGAATCATACACTAAATACTTCATCTGAGAAATACCAGTCAGTCCTCTCAGACATCATTGTTCTTTCATTTCCATACCAATCACTCACTGTTCTCGTTCTCTTTTCTTCGATCTTCTTAACCTGCCACCAGACATTTCACATACTACTTATATCTGTCCACATCAGTAGCACACACAATGTAATTACTGAACTCCCAATATTCTGTTTTCATCACAGATGTATGACACTAAACTAAATCCGAATCTTTATTTCGTGATAAGCGACAGTCGTTTCCTTGGTTGATGCAGTCGGTTTTGGATTTTGTAAATTCTAATACAATTCGATTTATTGTATAAATATTAAAATTAAATAATCAGAATTACTTCGAATAGGGTTTTATTCGCATTCTGTTGAAAAGCAAAAAAGCAGTAAATAAAATTTTTTTGATGATAAATTTAGACTGAAATAAATTACTCATCTAAGGAGATGGTAAATTTTCAAATTAACAGGAATAAACTCTGACCTTAAATTCTTCACAGAGTAGTCATATGTATTCATTAATCAAACTGTATTTAACACATTGAAAGTTCACACTAGGAACACATAAATAAATGAGCTCAGATGGTTACACCACGTTGACTATCTATTAAAGCCAGTAAGATGAATTATTTTTATTCGCAGATAGTGAGCGAATTTCTCTAATTTTTATTTTCTTGTCATAGTTTATGCCTTCCTACCTCAATATTTAACTTTATTAAAAACTGGCCATTATAATACTGAGTAAGCAATTAAGAATAAATAGTGTTATCAGATAAGATAATGACATTTATTTATACATTTCATGATGTAAGTTAGAAGAATAGCGTAAGTGTAATTGACGGCAAAGATCTTTTGTTCTTTTGCGAAGGATTCCTTTTATTAGTTATGTTGAAATCTTAAGACAATTAATAAAACTTATGAATGTAATTATAACCAAGAAATAAGTTGAAATCAGAAATTCAGGATCTTTATTTTCTTAACAGATTACCTACGTCTGGGAGAATATAACTGAAATTTTCTTTCAAAAAATGGGTAGCTCGAGAATCCTTTTATATCGAAAATCCCAAACTCTAGAGAGATCTATTTCGACCTAATAATTTCCTTACTACTGAGAATGTTTGAATTTGTCACATACTCTAACAATTGGTTGGATAGAAAAAACTTTAAATTCAGCTAGTAGAATAAAAATATTAGGAACGCTGAACAAGTGCATCGCGTTTAAATTAACCCACCTTCTTTAAGAATCATACAGAATCAAAATTCCTGTTTCTGTTATAATTCAACAAGACTAAACATTATTGTCGAATTGAAACAAGTTAGATATTCATATATACATAGTTCATTTCTGTTTCACTGTCCATAACTTTGTGCTGTACCACTTTATGAAAATATATTTAATATGATTTATTTAAGAGTATAATCTTATTGAAGAAGCCTGAACTAGCATAAAGCAGCTGTCCAGTGCTTCCTGCTTTTTGATGCATGTCTTTCTAAGAATAGTCCGTGGTTTCAATTCTAAAATGATAATACTGTAACCTTTACTTAATTTCACTGTATGATTTTTTAAAAACTGTTCAATAGAGTAATCCATGTGCCATGTTTCACCGCTATAATACAAAGTTTATTTTTATTCTAACTACCGGATAATGTAAAGTGATTTCATCTTAAGAGGGTTCAAGAAATATTTCATTAAATAATTGAAATACCTAAATGACCAGTACGTAATCAATAAAGGTATATGATGCAATCTATACTCAAAACTGTTGTGCTAAGTTTGATAATTGATCTTATTTACAGGTGAAGAGGATAATGCAGTTTGCTTCAGAGGCAGCCCAGGCAGCTCCAACCGAAGGTGATACTTCGTGTCAGCCGCAAACTCAGTCAAGCCAAGTTGATCAGGTCAACCAAAGCAAAAAACGAACCTCCGTCATTGCTTTAAACACTATGGGTTTTTCAAGTTCCGCTCCGAATTCTAGCTTTTCTGCAACTAAATCAGTAAAAACCTTGGCTCGTTATTTAGATATGTGTTTCATGAGACAACGGGAACTACGTCGAGCTTTTATCGTTGGTCCAGATCAAAAGCTCAAGAAAAATAGCTATAGTACTCGAACAAAGTCTTCTAAAAGTCAGAGTGGATTTTACCTTCCAGAAATAGAAAGTGGTGTCTTTAGACATGGTCAAAGAAGTATAAATCGTATTCACAGCAGTGCTTCGAGTAGAACTAGATCGGGGTTAGCTTCAGAGCTAACAGAATATGAACAAAATTCAACAGTTCAAAGACTGGCAATACATCAAAGGAAAAGGTGCTTTACATTTTCTTCTTGTTTTCGCAAACCTTGCAGAAAGCGTAAGTCAACATCCAGTTATCAACAGTACAGCAACAAATCATCTAAGTTAACACCTCAAACAAGTTTACCAGATAATTTGGAAACAGTTGCGATGCCAAATAGTTACTATTCTGCTCATAAAAGTTTTGGTGATTGTTCGCAGACTGTGAATGAGTTGACGATCGAAGAACCTTCGCAAAATTCAAGTACTTGTTGTCCATGCTGGGGAACACGTACACCGAAACATCCACAAAGAGCTCATACCACCCACATACCGCCGTGTAGGTATCAAGGAAATTTTCTTGTTCGCTTATATATGCTCGTGAAGTTAATTTATTTATCCAATGTAATTGGACAAATTTTTCTGCTCGAGTATTATACTGGTGTGGAATATAATTTTTATGGAATTAGAGTACTGTATGATCTCGCCAGAGGAAGACAATGGGAAGAATCTGGTCATTTTCCTAGAGTGACATTCTGTGATTTTGAAGCAAAGAAGCTTGCGCAAAGTCATTAGTAAGTCAATGGAAAATAATATCATATATTTATGATAAAGCACTATATTATTATTCTTCTTAGTAGCATATGTATATCAAGAATACTAATCAGTCGTATAACCTTTATAAGATAAATTATAGTAAAATTAATCACAGTCAAACAATGAATTCAACAAGTTCGTAAAACATCGTTCGTTAAATAGTGGCAGAATATACACCTGAGTAAAACAAATGCTCAGATGCTACATAATTTCACCTCATAGGTAACTTAATTAGACATGCTACTTCATTATTTTTCAAAGTAGAACATCGTAAAAAAGACTTTTTCTAGATTCAGGTGTAAACAATATTGTAAGTAAGAGTTAACTTGGCTGTTTTCTTTTAAGAATTCCTTCAGTAGGAAGAAAAAATTCATCCAAACAATTATAAGCAAAGATGAAAAGTGGCTAGCAGTGGAATCCAGGATGCGCGTTTCGTCCTATTTGGGACCCTTCAGCTGGAAATACCTTCATCTCAGAGTTGATATTCAACCTGGGACTCGAACCCAGTACCTTTCACTTTAAACGCCATCACGTTATCCACTTAGCTGCTGAGTCCTGATAGCCACTTGCTTGTGCAATGGGGTGAAGCTTAAATGCACATGGTGTTGTTTACTTGTATCTTCCCATAGCAGGTACATCCAGCTGACCAGTCCCAAATAGGACGAAATGCGCGTTCTGGATTCCGCTGCTAGCCACTATCCATCTTTGTATATAAAGCTTGTGACTTCAGGCAATATCGAGGCAGTCCGCACATTATGCACATATGCCAACAAGAGACTGATCAATCGCAGTCCTAAATAACAATGGGAAGATACAAGTAAACAACACCATCTGAATTTAATTCCAAACACTTATTAACTTTTATCCTTCCCGTTAATTTATTTAGGAAATTAGAAATGATTGACTGAATAACAACAATTATATCTTTTCTTTAGTAAAAACAGGACTTCATTCTCATCATTAAAATGATTTAATTCCAATGCTGTATCCTTTTTTATTTCATTCATTTCTATCAAAGTAACTGACGGAAAATATTGAAGAAAAATGTTTGTCATAAATAGTTTATTATTTTATTGAATGACTTTAGAGCAAGTTATGTTTTAGTATACAGGAAGTATATGCATATATAAACCATTTGGATTGTTATGACAGTTCGGTAGATTCTCAAACACGCTGACATATAGATATTTGATTACAAAAATTAATACCAATGGATGACTGATGAAAAAGTAAGGTTATTCTCAGATTTCAAGTTTCGCTTGACAGTTATTGATTATTAACAGTAAATTATTTACCAAGTTGTGTACATTTGATTAAATTATTACGTTATTTTGGTGTCAGTCAAAACAAAAGTTCTGTTCTCGTTGATTTTTAAAACGTATTCGAACTCTTAGAAAAGAACATTATTCATATCAGATAGTCGAGGTTACATTGTTCCTCGACAAACGTAGAGATGATATCAAGATGGGCATAACTTAGCCTAATGAATATATTGTACTCTGTAACCAATAGATTTTGACTTGAACTCATTAATGAATGCTTAATAAACTACTCACAATAAAGTCTGTTTCGATTTAGTTTGCTTTGTAATGAAGTGTATATTCTTAGTTGTTTAGGAATAGAAATTTGGATAAATAATTCATTATAGATTTTATCATATTTGCAAAATATCTTGTCAACAAAAACTTATACGCAAATAATCCTACTTTCAAAACTTTAGCTTGCATAGCTTGAATTATCCGATATAAACCATGAAAGCCGCATTAAATCTTTGTTCAGTTTTCATCACTGTCATTTGAGTATTGTGTATGATATCATGTAACCATCCTATAGCTTTTATTATTTAATATTTCATATAAACAAATTAGGAATGATTACACTTTAAAACAAAGCAATACGAAAAGATTTGTATCTGCTTATTCTTGCTTTGTTTGAATTTATATAAAGAAAGCCAATCGCGTGCAGTTATTGAAATGTAACGTTTTATTGTTTACTCACCCACATATTTCTTTGAATTGACACAATTTTGGTAAATGCCATTATTTTTGTAAAATTAGCACATTTTAAAGAAAGGATTTTACTGTTTTATAATCTGTGTGGTATTTTTCTTCTTTACTAAATTTTCTATTCGGATATTTAAATCACATTTAAAAACACTAATTGGTTCTAACGGAGTATCATTATTAGTTCACTCAAAGTCTTCATTGTTGTTATAGTGTTGAAAACCATATTTTTTTGTGTTCCCCGTATTAGACGATAAGTAAAACCACTTTAATTAGGTCATGTGATCTTCTACAAAGTAGTTTTTTTTATATTTAAATTAGGCTTAGGAAATCTAACGGTAGGTTAACAGGATGCTATATAAAAAAACCGAGAACAAGATTTACAGAATAATATGAATTGGTTAAATTTCACAGCTTCTCATCAGCTGAAAATGGCCCTTATCTACACTATCAGTAGTATTATAAAAGATTTCCAGATACCGTAATCAATTAAGAAATAAGAAGAAACAATTTATTAAATATAATATTTAGGGTTGATTTATATTTATGTGTTGAGAATAAATTCATAGAAAGAAAGCGATGGAGATATGAATGATAATAAAGAGACAATAAATAATAACAAATTTCACTTAAATCATGAACCAAATAATGTTAGACATCACTGAATGCCTGAAAACACTGGACGGCCGTTTGGCTCTAGTATGAGACTCCTCAGTAGGGCGCGTCCACGATTTCGCGCACTGAAATGGAATTCAGAACCTTCGATCTAGCGTGAACACCTACCTTCAAAGGTGCTAATGTCTAACCACAATAAATCCACGAATTTTCAGGACCATCTTCCATTGTCTTCCGTGGGTAACTATCTCACACTGTATTTCACTCTTTCAAGAAGCTGTAAACAGGGGAGTTCAACCGTGTCCATTAAAAGGCAGTTACTCGCCGAAAGTTCTGGATTCAAATTTTACGTGTGGGATTGTGGATGATCACTTCTGAAGAATCTCATACAAGGACAAAAACGCGTTCAAATGCTTCCAGTTTTTCAATGGTGTTCTAAAGTTAATTTGTTCATAGTCACAATGAAATCTAACACTTCCCACAATCTCATATTTGAAATAGTAGCAAATTGTTGACAAATGAGTGACAATCAAGGAACCTGGTTACTAAATCCCATTCTCCATTTAAGTTTTCATTGAATTGATAGTTTTAAAACTAGAATTTTTTTCAGTTAAAAAATAATAACATGACAATATGTCTCGTTTAATGACTTCACTTTTATCATGACATGAAGAAAGTGTAATAAATGCAAGGAAATTTAGAGGGGTAATTGTTTTAAAATGAGTTGAATAAACAATCTTGATACGTGCACACATGACTTTTTATTTCGTTAGCAGAAATCAGTACACGACGAATCATGTGTGTATTGGATTACACATTTGATTGTCATTTACTTCAACTGTCATTAGGCAAGGAGAAAATCAAGATTATTTTGTGATTTTCTAGTTTGAATGAAAAACAAAAGAATATATAGTCTTAGTACCAAATTTAGTGGTTATTATATACAAAATTATGATTGACTAATATGGTAGTGATTTGATCTTACTGAATATTCTTAACGCTCTAAAAATAGTTAAATGATGATTCAAAATTTGATTTTAAGTGAAATTATATATTACATATATATATATATATGACATAGAATCATCATGTTTATTAGTACGCAAGTTGTATTAAAGCCAATTTGCAGCCATACTGATTTTTAATTTGAAAGGCATTCTGCAACGAAGAAGAAATTAGTAACTGGAAAAATAATTTTCATTAGTGATGCATCGATTCCTCTATAACCAAGTAACAAACTGAGTTTATGAAAACACAATTCTGTGAGATTTCTGTAACTAAAAAATGATTATATAACTGAAATAAAAGAATTGATTTCTTCTTTATTAACAAATTGGTGAGACTATAATTTATGGACGACATTTGGGTGACGTTAAGCTGACCTTGAGTGTCCACCTAATAACTAGGACCAAATGAGGGTTATAAACCAGTGTAAGGAATTAGAGTTATGATTTACAATTGATGTTTAAGGTTAGGAATTAGAATTACGTTTTTCATCACGAACTGACATGAGCTCTAATACCGAAATCCTATTTAGCCAAATGGATGAATGGAGTTCGCACCAAAATCTAAGACCTGTCATGTTATACCTGATTTGTTCTTCCACAAATTATAGTCTCGCCGACCATTCTAGTTATATAACTCAGCATATAATGATTTGGAAACATTAAGTATTTACGTGAAATGTCATCGTCAGTGCACTAATAAGCTTTTGAAGTCAACTTACCCTTATTGTCTAATAATTTTTCTGCCTAAATCATCGAAATAAACTGTAGCAAAATGATATTTAATAAATGAATTGTCAGTGAAATACTTGATGCATTACAAAAGTATTTATAAGAAGAAAACTGTTAAATGCGACACTAGAGATAATGAATAACATTAAATTTCTATATTCAATTGCTTACTGATACATTCGTACAGTACTAACTACATCAATATTATATATTTTCTTCATTCCATCCACTATTGCGTCCGTGTTATTGCTGTCAGTGCTTCATTTCGATGTAGTTTGAAAACTTTATATGTATATAATCTTTACATGAATATGTGTCTTTGATGAATTTCGACTGAAGTAAAATGAATAGTTGAATATGTTTAATCCTTCAAAATTCTCTTTTCGAGCTAAAAAAATCTCTGATCAAGAGCAGAAAAAATCCATAAAATTTTAAAAAACGTGAAATGGTTATATTGGAGATATGTTATAGATTAATAAACTATATGAATAACTCTTGATTTTCTCACTTCAATTTATACTAGCAAGTATGATAATTAGAAAAAGGAATTGTTGAGTACTGTGCTAAATAACGCTATTATGTTTGTTATCATTCCAATTTACAACAATGGATTCCATATATGAAAAATCTAGAACTATTCAGGTTATGGTATATGGTAAATATTAGTTTCTCTCATTCATTTTTCTATCTGTGGTCTAATGATTTGGATAATATGTTTCTTGAAGATGATTTTTCTTAAGAACTGACTTACTTCGGAGAACTATATAACCAGATTTCATAGAGAAACTATTTTTGATTTCCTACTCTTAAGTAGAGTGTGCTTGCAACCCCAATATGAAATTAAGTACATGGGAATAAGGTTTGTTTGAGAGTTTATATTTCCAGCTGTAATCAATTTGCGATACGAAGCGATCAAAAAACGCCTTTATCAGTTAGTTTCTATCTCATCAGTGTTTATATTGCCTTCAACCGGTCACGATTATCGATTAAGACTTCAGGCTACGATAAATGTTCGCTAAGGTGTTCATTGAATGGAAAATTGTGGTCCAAAGAGGGTTGTCACCAAAAGCTGGTATCATCTGCTGGCCTTTGAGTTCGTTCCGTCCTCAGTGCTTTCTAAATATTGATTCCCGAGTTGGTCTCATTTTTGGATGGAAACCATTTTCAAATACAAAGATGTGTAGGTGTAAGAGAATGGATTCAAGACATCTAAAGGATTCTTTCATCTAGATTAAATACTTAAAACACTAAACTTGAGATACGCCAAATAATCTATGGAGACAAGTAAACAGTATAAGTATGAAATTGTGAGCTTAACACTTTGGTCACTAGTAAACTCAAGGTTACTATTTTCAGATAATTATATTTCTTATTCTTAGAAAATAAGCTAGTATTATCAACTATTCATAGTATAATTTTCATTACTTTTTTTCCTACTTTCAGCTATACTTTGCAATGTGTTCTCCCAATCAATATGTTCTTAGAGAAGATATACATATTTTTATGGCTGTGGTTTTTCTTAGTCGGCATTGTCACATTCAGTAGTATTATTATATGGATTAGAAGAATAGGTACAAGGACTGTCAGACTTACTTGGATTCAACAACAGTTAATAACTATACGTCAATATGACAAATTCGAAAAAAGTTTTGAACAGTTTGTTGATAATCATATGGGTCCAGATGGGGTATTTTTACTTCGATTGATTGCACAAAATTACGGAGATTTAGTAGCAGGTGATACAATCGGTGAATTATGGATGGCTTATTGGCAAAGACGATTAACCGTTTCGTCAGAGCGTAGACTTACGGGGAGTATTTCAAGAAAACCACCATCACCAGCTTCTACATTTAATAGGTTTGATCAGCCTCTACCGTCAGATACATATACTAAAAACCCGTCGTTAAGAAACCAGAACAATGAAACATATCCAATGCAAATGACTTTAACAAAGGGACAGATAGAACACAAAACCTCTAAGCAAGGTAAGAAAGATAAATCGCGACGTATGGCCACTGCATCAGGTTTTCCAGCAGCCTTACTTGCCACGGAGATGGTACATCCAGTAGATCGTTTCGGTGTACCTTTAATAGCAGCTACTCGCAAGCCACCATCTTTGCCTTCTAGGTCATCATCAAGATATAGTCAAAGAAGTAGATCAAGGGAACGATCAGAATCACCTCCGCCAATACCCCAAAGGTCTCCTGGATGCGAAAATTACAGTTTTAGTGATAGACAATCGATAAAAGACTTTGAACATCAAAGTGAACACTCATCTGTAATTTATCCAATATCTCCTACTGGACCGGATGAAGAAGAAATTGTTGACCATCAGGCTGACGCTATTGTAGAAAACGATCAAACAGTTAATATTCAAGGATCCTTCGAATATGAAGATCCACAAGGAAATATTTACACTGAAAATCATGATAATGAATACGCTGAAGATGTTCAGAATGATGATAATATTGTATGAAATGTAAATTTTTAAATATTATGGAACAATATTTTTTTATTTGACCTCTGTCACTTCAGTCTTTCATGCTAAAATAATCTTATAATAACTGTATAGTAATTTGTTTTTTTACAGATGTGTATCCTATGATTGTAAAATTAAAACTGATTCCATTATTTGTTTTATATAATATTAGCTTATTACATAGTGTTGGCTGAACATTGTATTGAGGCAAAATATTTTTAAATAATGTTTTGCATTACCTGTTGGCTTTTCGAATAGGTTATATATATCTTGAAATATGCTTTATTCACTAGGGTATATAAAACGGTTGAGTTTAGTTTTACATTTGAAGATAAAGTGCGGGGAATTGAATTAATCTGTCTTTCGTTATTGCAGTTTAATGTAGAATTAGCATAGTTGGTTCTTTTAAGTAACTCATGATATTTTATGCTAATTTTACTTTTACTTATACAAATATTGATGGGATAATTTGCTTTAATGGGAGGTGATAATAAACTTGATGGACCATAATAAAATACTATTGAAAACCAGGTTTTCAATGGTGGCCTGACTTAGATTGACTTGTGAATTCAACTTTGAGAATTATATCAATTTGTAATAAAAACTATTGTTATAGTGATCGATTCCCTTTTAAACTATCTACATAAATTATTTAAAAGGTGTGGTAAATTAATCTCACTTTAATCCAGTCTTAGACGTTTTATGACTAGTTAGTACTCATCATAGTAGAGGTTTTGTTGTGTTTGTGGTAATAATGTCCACAAATAGTAAAAACAAAGTTCAAAATACAACGAATTGACTCAATTTAAATGTATTCCTCATGAATGTCCAGACGATGATAAACCTTCCATTAAGATAAATCTAAACAAGACATTCATTACAAGAACATCTATCGTTAAAGATAATAAATACGACTGATTGAATATAAATGAGTGTTGTGTAGGAGAAGCACTATTTTAGTCCTTCGTATGCAATATAGTTGTCATGAATTGAAACATTCCATTTCCAAATGCTCCTTGATTCTACGCAAAAAATATATAATTATTTTAGATTTTAATAAGATCAACTTATTTGCTTAGACCTATCTTAAGAATATATATGTCGAGCATTCAAACGTATTAGTTCATCAATAACGTAGATTTTCCTGAAAATCTAGTTTAATAATGCTCACTGTCACAGAATAAAATCTATAGCGATTTTTGTTCAGCTAAAGGCAAATTAATGAGATCCTGATCCTGGACAAATTATTCCAAATACTAAAGTATTGTACACCACAGTGCTAACTTACAATAGGTGATGCTAATTGTTTCATAGTGATGTTAGGGAAAATACACAGGCCAATAGAGTGAAAAGACTGATTGAACCCAATTATGATTTAGAACAACATATATAAGTGGAAAAAATTGTTCTTGGTTAGATCCTCATCAGGCTATACTCTAATACACAGTAATATTTATATGCATATATGAAATTATTAAACCAATCAAGGTAATTTATATGTTAATGGTAACAGTGGGATAGATTACGTCAATAAACATAATAAGTCAAAAGTACAAAATTGGTAGTGTGATGACTGGTATAAGAGTTGTGATAAGAATAATAAAGGGTTGAATCCATTTTACATAAAGGGAAATAGGTCAATGATTAGAAAAAATATAGACAATGAAATAACATAGATTACGTAATAAGAATTGTTCAGTTAATAAAATCATGAAACGCATATTTGCGAAAAAAGAAAATGATGGGAGGAGGTAAAGAAAAATAAACGAAGAAAGAATATGGGAAGTATTAAACAAAATATGAATGTTAGTAGCATATATTTTTAGATTTTATTACGAAAGTAACTAGTCATGTCAAGATCTATTGTAATAATAAGATTGCGGATTTTCGGTTTCATATTTCGACATTTATCATAAAAGAATACACTCAAATAATGTTTTTACATTACACTTTAGCGAATAAGGGTGTTGAATCTTATTTATATTAAGTATAAACATTTGTTATACGAAATAAATATTTTGTAAAACTATTTTCATTGTCCATGTCACAGAAGAACCACTTGAACGGATAAGCGTGCATATTTAGCTATTTGATGATGATAAGAAATACCCAAACTCAATTATTTCAATGTTCCCATTAGAACTTTTATGACAAAAAATAGTTTCAGAAAATGAACATAAACTATTAACATGAATCAAATAAGCTTATTGTAACAGACTAAAAACATTCACCTATGATGTCATGTGTTAGAAACTTTGTAATAGAAATCTAGGATTGTTCATAAGAATAAGAAATGTTTAGTTAACAACCAAAGCGAAATTCTAACACAATTAAAGTTACATGTATTTCAATGTATGTTTACAGTCGGATTGCAATCGTTAAAAAAACTAAATTCTTTACAATGTGTATATATTATGTTTGAGGTTCTAACCAATCAATAAGCGTTTCATAAAAAGCGCCAAGAACATTTAGAAAATAAAGTCAAATACATTGTCAACAACTCATGAATATAAAAGAAGATACATTTAATATTGATTTATATAGGGGAGTGATAAGTAAACACTAGTTGTAACAAAAAAAATTAGGTTACTAAGGGAATAGGCTGAGAATATTCCAAGTCTAATTAAAGGTGTGTCTTTTCGTTTGTTTTGGCGACATTAAGGAAAATGTAACTAGTTATTTTTAAAAAAAATGATAATAAAGTGTAATTAAACACTGTTCAGTACTGACAGATATTTTGATGGTGTTAGTACAAAAACACGTACACGACTGAAATACTGAATTATCCAATTATAAATTTTTATATCCTGTAACTTTGCAATAAAAGAATAGATGGAATAGAATTAAGAGTGAATTTCGACTTAAGATTGTTTCTGAATTTGTGACGTCCATATTAACTAAAAATATAGCTAAATATGAATGTCTTGCTACACATTCCATAAGTAATTTCTTATTTTTTTAATCATCATAAGGGATATTTTGCACATTTGATAACTTAATATTTTCATGGATGGTATCTTGCTCAATCAAATAAGTGAAAATCTAAACATAATCAACCAACAAATTAGTGTTTTATTCATTTTTGTCATTTAACGCTAATATTTTAGTATACTTTCGAAGTTTGTTTGATCAATTTGAAACTCCGTACTCTGCTTCTTTTATTTGTAACGTATCCTCAAATTTATCCATTTCATTTTATTATTCAGCTTTCATCCCATCTAATTAACTACTTAATAAAAATTGATAATTATCCATGAAAAGAATTATATATGTAGTGTACTTTATAATGCTGAAGACAATTTCCAGGATGCTTCTTACTTAAATTCCATCCTAATTTGCAATCTTCGGAATCGTATATTTACAGTCTTGAAAGAAATTTTTTTCTCCACACTGTCTTAATACGCAAATCTTTCGGTATGTTAGTGAGAGACTCTACTCTTAAGTCATTCAGCTGGTGTCTGACCTCCTGTATGATAGAAATGTTGACACTGAATGATTACTGGTTTGTTAGCTATGCCATATTTGATCCTCAAGTCTTATCATCTAATACAGACACACTGTTTCGGTGCGTGTTAATTGTCATGATATGTACGTCCATGACATTCTTTTGGTTTGCACCAACCATTTAAAATCTGATCATAGTGAACACGTTTTTAAATCACGTAGATTAGTTTTCACATCTCAATTTAACCAATCAAATTTGATTAACACTGTAAAATATACAAGCATGATATTGGTTTGTGAAATCGAATTCAATGATCAATAAGTAGAAGTTGAATTTAAGATCTATTGAATATCAAACATAGTCTTATACCATCAGGGTTTATTGACAAAAATGTTATCAACTTTATCTCGCTTACTTTCCGTATACTACAGATAAAGTTAGTCATTACATTTCCTAAACTGTATCAATTTGTTTCCATGTCGGCTGCTCACTAGGTTTAAAAAGCCTTGATACATTAATCCAGTGACCAGATTTAGTTTAATCAAACATGACATTATTATCATACCGATTGTTCCGTTGATAACAGACAACTTTTCTTTTTAAAAAAATAGTACAGTGGGTTTCTGAATAAATTATTGAATTTTTGTTTAGTCAGTATCCTTCTACTTCGGAAAAATTAACATATCTATAGTTGGATAAATGTATTTATATTTCGTTTTAACGTACTACTGAAAGATAATCTCTGGAAATGTCCGTAGTTTTCTGTTTTTATTTAGTTTATGATGACTAAAAATCCCTTTATGAATTACTATGTAGGACTATTAACATTTTGGTATACAGTTTAGAGAAGTTAATTTTGAATTACCACGACTACTAAGCGGTTGTCAAATCTAATTTTATCCTAAGTTAATCAATTTATTACTGATTTATAAAAAGTCATACAAATTTAGATGAATGTATTTTATAGAAATGTCAACTTCCTAAATATATATTCAACAGGTTGGTTGATGATTATAAATTTTTTGGTCTATTCCGTTGAAAATTGTATTTGAATAAACGAGAAGATATTCTGATTCGGTCAATTGTTCTAGTTTTTTATGAGTTATTCATAAGCCAATATATGTTCAAAACTGAGAAAGATTATGAAGACGGATTTATATATATGGAAGATTTCTGTTTACATAATATATTATAGTTTCAAGTAATTTTCAAGGACAAGTTATCCTATTCATCTAATTGTTCAATGAGTATTTTAGCCATTTTAGTGTTGAATTTGTTATCCTAATTAACTTGAAATTTGCAGTATATATTTTCATTAACTGCTTCAATAGTTAACATACACTTTCAATGCAACCTGTGGTCTTTCAATTAACAAATATATTGAACGTTGCTTGCAAAAATCGACTGAATAATTTATCTCCACTTATACTAAAAGTCAAAAGATTACTTATATATTCATTTATAGTTAGTTCCATGAATAGGCTTACATGTAGTAAAAATAAAAATCGTGATTATATATTAAAGTTAAAAGGAACCAATTCATTCGGTTATGACCTTTCACCGTGGTTAATTTGAATACAGCCAATTTTTAAATTGCTTAGGGTTAGATTTTTATTGTTTGTAATGGGCTTTTCCCAGTCTCTAAACTGTTAACTAAACATGGACATTTTTTTAAAGCGAAATAATCTGACATATTCTACTTAATAATCAATAATATCGTTAATTGTCATTCTCATTACTATTAGATATTTATTGGTAAAATAGTGAGGTCATGATATCTAAAATAAATAGGATACAATAATTAGTCATGATGAAATAATTCACTTAACAGGGTCATATTTTTCAAATAGTCAAGAATTGAAGTATGAATAAATTATTCAGACTGAAACATTAGTCCGCTTTTAATCATAGATATATATTATTATTATTAATAACATGTGTTACGTTATGTACATTTACGGGGTTTAATTGAATGTATTATAAATGTAAGCTATTACATATTTAATGAATGAATAATTATTGAGTCGAGAATGAATGCTCCTTGCCACACAAGGAGTTGCACTGATGCTATACAAATAAGGACATAAAGCACTTATAGGATGGGAATCTCATGAACACAGGATAATCAAAGCCTTCTTCAAAACAAAGAAAGGAGGCATTACAATGAACGTCATCCAAAGCTATGCGTCTACCAACGAATACAATGAAGACATTAAAGATCAATTTTACGATAAGCTGCAGTCAATCGTCAAGAAATGCCAACAAAGGACTTAACCATTCTGATAGGAAACCCAAATACCGAGGTTTTAATGGACAACACCGGATATGCTGACGTCATGGGACGACATGAACTGAATGAGAGAAGGAACGAAAACGGTGAGAGATTTACAAACCTATGTGCCTT